ATGAAATCATGGAATTTCTTTATGCCAGCCACTATGGCCAAGGCTTCTCTGTCAATCTGAGCGTAATTCTGCTCTGCAGATGACAGAGTCCTTGAGTAGTAGGCCACAGGGACTTGTGTCCCATCAGCCTTCAGATGGCTAAGTACTGCTCCCACCCCATAAGGAGATGCATCGCATGCGATGCATACAGGCAGTTGCACATTGAAATGCGCTAATATAGCATTTGAAGAGAGCAAGGCCTTAACCTCATTGAAACTCCTTTCATGGACTTTAGTCCACTGCCATGGAGCTTGTTTATCTAAGAGCCGGTGTAACAGCTCTGCCACTGCAGCCTTGTGTGGAAGAAATGCATGATAGAAATTTAAGAGCCCTGAGAAAGCTTGCAGGTCGCTTTTGGACTTGGGGCTTGGGGCTTGCTGAATTGCTTGAAGCTTCGATTCAGCAGGATGGATGCTTTGAGCATCAATTCTGAAACCTAAGAATTCAGTGGAAGTGATTCCAATCTTACACTTTTCTTGCTTCAGTTTCAGCCCGCTTGGCGGAAACGAAGCAAGACAGCCCTTAATCTCTCAGCTAAGTTTAGAGATGACTCCCCAGCAATGAGGATGTCATCAAAATAGGGACAGACCCCAGGAATACCACGAATGTGCGCTCCATGACACTTTGGAATATGCCAGGGGCTACATTAACCCCAAACTGCAATCTTTTAACCTTAAAGGCTCCTCTGTGTGTTACTATTGTTTGAGCCTCAGATGTTGCCTCATCAACAGGTAGCTGTTGGTAGGCCTGTGCCAAATCGAGTTTTGCAAATATGTGCCCCCCCTTGAGGGAGGCCAGAATGTGGCTTACCAAAGGGACTGGGTATGCATGCTGTTGCAGTGCTTCGTTCAATGTACATTTATAGTCTGCGCAAATTCGGACTTCTCCATTAGCCTTTAAAGGCGTTACAATGGGGGTTTCCCATGGACTAGAGTCCATAGGTTCTAAGATGCCCTGCTGGAGCAGCTTGTCCAGCTCTGCATCAATTTTGCTCTTGAGAGCAAAAGGCACCCTTCTAGGCTTAATCCTAATAGGTGTGATAGTTGGGCAATGGGAGGCCTCTTGTAAGAGCCAAGCTCTGAGCTAAACACATCAGCAAAGTCCCTGCAGACTTCTGTAAGGCCTGGCGTTTGCAGGCTGTGCAGCCCAGTCACTTGGATTCCAAGGGCCTCGAACCAATCGAGTTCAATGAGACTTGTACGATCACCCCCAACTACCACCACATCTAGTAGGCCTTCAAAAGTCTTACACTGCACTTTGAGCGTAGCCTCCCCCTTCATGCTGACTCTGGAATTCTGGAAGTCAGTGAGGATTAGGTTCGATGGCCTGAGTTTGACTGGAAGGCCACTACTGCTGCAAATCCTTTTGAAGGTGTCATGTGAAATGATCGATAGAGCGGACCCTGTGTCCAACTCCATTGATAAGGAAACCCCTTGCAGCTTCATGTCAATGTGAAGCTTTTTTTTAAGGGGCTTGTGTGTCCCTGTTGTCAGAATACTCCTGCGCGATGCCCAGAAACCCACCCTGTGTTGGCTGGGGACCCTGGTACCTTTCCGAAGCAATTCTTCCCGAGGTTGGACTTTCTGGTGACCCAAACAGATGGGGGCAATGTGGCCTTGCCTTCCACATGCCTGGCAAAGGGCGGAACGGAATCTGCAGTCCGCGCGCTTGTGGCGTCCTCCACACCCGAAGCACTGAGGAGATGCTGAAGCCTTGTCTGGATGCTCCTTTGGCCTTCTCTCAGCTGGCTGGTGTAGTCTATCCACCTCCTCTTCAGGATCCGTTTCTGGATCTTCTCTAGCGACCTCTTGATGGACGGTCACGGTGGCTGGAGGGTTTGTGGTGAGCCGCAAAGCCTTCACCAGCTCCGCCCGCTGCTTCTTCAGCTGCAACCTCTCTCAATGCATCTTGAAATGAAACTTCTTCCTTGACGAAGATCTTCTGTTGCAGCTCCCTATTTCGTAGCCACAAACGAAACAATCTCACAGCCTCTCTTCCAGGTCCTTGAATTCACAAGGCCTGGCTGCTTGTCTTAAGGCAGCAATAAAGTCCGCAGCAGACTCACCCGGCTTTTGGTCTCTCTGCTCGAACGCGTGCCTCCAAGCAATTACAGAAAGTTTAGGCTGGAAATGTTCTTTAAGCATTTTCTTCAAGTCAGTATAAGTTACTGACTCTAAAAGCGCAGGGGCCACCAGGTTCTCTGCTATGTCGAACGTTTCCTGTCCACAAACACACAGCAGGGTTGCCGCTTTAAGGCCGTCTTCCCTTATCTGATTGACCCTAAAGTAGTTCTCCACCCATGCCACGTATGAATTCCAGCGCTCCGGGTGGGAGACATCAAAGTCAGATAAGTGGCCAATCTTCGACATCTTAAGTCTTCACAGGCCTCGTTAATGCCTTTCGTTGCAAGACTCGTCTTACTGGGGGGAAGTGGTCCGTTTGCCAAGCTCACCTCCAGCGATGCTGTACTGGCAGGCTGAGTCGCAGAGCTGGATGCCAACTTCCCAAGCTTCAGGACCTTCAGTGAGTCCTCGATTCAGTTGTAAATCTTCCGCTTGCCTGCAGCGATCCCACCTTCGTCGCCAGTTTTATGTTTTCGGGTCGCAGGCATTAAACGAAGACACATGGTGAACACCAAGCTTTCTTTATTGACTCCTCCTTACAACCAGCTACCACCAAAAAGGCACGCAGGCCTTTTATACTGTCCTGAACCCGGACAGCGTCAGCCAATAGGAATCTGGCTGTTTTCACGCCTTGTGCATGCGCACAAAGCTGGCGACAGCCAGTCTGGTCCCAGGCAGCTTTTGGTCCTCCCGGGACCATTTGCAACACTTCTGAGCCTGCTGAATGCTTCAGCAGGCTCAGGACACAACAGTAAGTGATTTTGAATGTTTATGATTTACTTAAAAAAAAACCAATCTCGCTTTCTAAAGAATGGAGACTTAAGTTTGCTTTCAGGGTCAAGGAATATTTGAAGACTGATTTTGCTCCTTTACGTCCCTGAAGAGAGCAATATCTACTAGGCAATGCAGCCTAGCAATTACAGAGCTGAAGTATATTCTCTCTGCTTAATAATGTCAACAACACTTGCAAAACTACAGGTAGCCCTTGAGTCACAACCATAATGGAGTCTGCAATTACGGTGATAAATTGTGACAATCAGAAAGTGAGTCATGACCAAACCTGATTTTATGTTTTTTATGCCGGTCATTAAGTGAAAATTAAGGTAATTAAGTGAACTCATTTTTTGGTAAGGGGCAGTTTTTGTCAGAAACCAGAAGTAAACTCCAGTTCCCAGCAAAAAGATTGTAAATCATGGTTGGGTGACCATAGGGCACTGCAAATGGCCATAAATGTGGGAGAGTTGTCACGCTGTCATGTGACTATGGGGGGAAATACGAACATCAGAACTTTGGAACTGGGTCATAAGCAGGTTTTGACGGAGGCCGTCATAACTTCGAATAGTCGCTAAGCAACCAATGGTAAATCGAGGACTACCAGTACAGGAGCAGGAAGCTAAATGGAATAAAATGCTAACTTCAAAATTAAACCTGTTCTCAATTTATCCTAAGACAGGAACCATTTCCCCCCAAGAATAAGCACTTCCCCTCTTAGCAAGGTTACCAGGCCCAAGCAGTTTTGGAGTATAAAATGAGAGATTAGAAATCCAATAGTGGAATAACCATGAAAAGGATTTTTTTTTAATTTAATGAAGACAACAAAGGAAAGATTTGCAAGGATAGTTTCACTGCAAGCAGTTTGTAAATGAAGATTCAGTCATCCAGGCCAAAAGTCTCAATTTTAATAAATGGTCCACTTGCTATGATTTAATCTTTTAAGATACAGTACTGCAAGCCGTTCTGTGAAGCTGATATCTGTTTGCCAAAACCAGTAATTCGTAAGTAATCCAAGCAAACAAAGAGACAGAGGTATAGAATTAGAATGTAGATAAAATTACCCTTGTAAAAAATGAAATCTCCTTCACAAGATTAATTAAGCAGCCTGTCACAATTTTACTCACTTCCTGGTTTTCTAGGCCCAGTGACACTAAATATGTTCTCAGGGACCTGGCGATCCATATCTCTTGCAGACCTCCAAGCCAAGACTTCTTGAAACCAAGGAATTACAAGTAGTTCTCGACTTAAAATCATTTGTTTAGTGACTGTTCAAAGTTACAACAGAACTGAAAAAAAAAGTAACTTGCAACAAGTTCTCATCCACATGATCATTATAGTATCCTTGTGATCATGTAATCAAAATTCGGGCATTTGGCAACTGGCATGTATTTATGATGGTTGCAACATCCCGGGGTCATGTGATCACCATTTGCGACCTTCACAGCCAACTTCCAACAAGCAAGTCAATGGGGGAAACCAAATTCGCTTAAGGACCACATGATTCAATTAACAAGTGCAATATTCACTTAGCAACCATGGCTAAAAAGATTGTAAAATTGGGCATGATTCACTTAATAACCACTGTGCTTTGCAGTGAAAATTCTGGTCCATAAGTCAGGAACTAACTAAAATCTCTAACTCCTTCTTCTTGGAAAGACAGTCCCTGTATTTATGGAGTCCTTAAGAGCTCAGCTAGCTAGCAGGCCATCCAAGATTAAGAATCCCTTTAACTATTTATAGATCTTCAGTCCTTTGTTAGTTCCTACATTTATGATTCTCACTCACACGACTAAGCAAAGAAATGACCAGATGCTAACATTTGCAATGGTTCCACAGAAATCCAGATGTATATTTCTATTTGGCTATGAAATTCACTTGGTGATCTTCCATAAGTCAATGCTTCATACTTCACATTAAGCTATAATATAATAACACCTAATATTTGTGGCTTACCATGTACATTGCCTTTGCCTCTTGTTGGATAAGCAGAAAGATTAGGGTAGGTGTAATAAGCAAAGGTTGAACAAGGTCACTTATAGTCACATTTTTCCCTCCTTTCTACAGTCCAGCACCTGCACCAATACAAGGCCAGCGGGTTCGTGCCGTGTACGATTATATTGGTCAGGAAGCAGATGAGCTAAGTTTCAAAGCAGGTGAGTGTTATTGTCATAATCCTTCCACACAACGTCAGTCTTCCAAAGGGAGCCTCATCTCTGCAGAGACTGGCTGGTATTAAAATGGACATGAATCTGTTCCAACCTCTTGAAATGGACTCTGGTTTCCCTTCTCTTGTCATCTATATTCTTTCATTCTCTTCATTTTCCTGTAAGAAATTCTACGCATGGGGTTAAGCAATCAATTGTTTTAGGACTGTTGGGAAACTGTCAGCCAGGCTGGAAGGAGGAGTCAAGCAAGAGCCTAGCTTGGAGTCTTTGTGCAGCTGCAAGTGACATAAGCTTCACACACATGCACACGCGTGCACACATACACAAACGATCCATGAAGCCTTCTCTAGTCGTTCCCAGGGGAAGGCAAGCTTTCTGGTGAGATTCTTATAATACAGTGGTAGATAGTAAAGTTACTGGCTTTTGTTATTCATGAATTGGCTCCGGCTGCTTGCCGGATCAGGAAATAGTGACATTTCCAGTTACAAGGGTGATAAGTGCAGCCTTATTCATCTCGTATTATTTTTTCCTATACCAAAGTGGTCAGGATTAACTGAGAATAGTCCTGCCTCTCCCCAAGACTCCTACATGCAGCTTAGATACAGTGCTATCTATCAGCTCTTCAAATGACAGAAAACGGTACGTAGCATAACGCTTGTTATCCCACTGTTGACCCTTATTCTGCCATAGAAGAGTGCCATTAAATGGTATCTTCATTTACAGTGGACTAAGGAAAGGACATGGAGGGTACTACTGACTTTGGTTTCCTTCTGTCCCATTAAACATACCAGACAGTGAGAAAGCATCCATCAATTCCTGTACTTGAATAAGTTGAGGCTGGGTAACCGGTGAGTTTTGACAGAAGACTAGACCAAGGATGAGGTTCTGTTTGTTAGAGGTTGTTCCAGCCAAGGCTGAGAGGGGTGGTATTAGGCGTGCAACTTTATCCAGACAAGAAACACAACCGGGGGTGATAATTTTATCTTTATTGTAAATTTGAGTTTGAGTTTTGATCTGTTTTGAGTCATTGTTGAGGCTTAGCAACTTCCTGAATTATTCCCTGCAATTTTCTTGGCAAGATTTTGGAAGTGGTATGCCATTACATGCTTCCTAGGACTGAGAAGGTAAGATTGGCCCAAAGTCATCCAGCTGGCCCAGTGCCTTAACCACTACACCAAACCAGCACTCTATTGTAAGATTACATTAAAATAATCTTGCGAGGTGAAAGTATTCTCCCCTTCTTTAATTTCCAAAAAACTAGGGAGGGTCCCTTCTGAAACATCTCCCACACCATTCCCCCTTCTGTGGCTGAAATATCTTTTACATGGCAATTGTCCCATGTGAGATTCTCCCTTCCAAAGTCATTCCTCCATACCATCTACACGAGATGGGCAGCGTACAAATCTAATCAAATCAAATCAAACCATAAACAAACAAACAAATAAATAAATGCAGGTGGCAGGAGAAAGAGGGAGCTGTCTCTTTTTCACTAGCCTCCAACCCTAGGGCACTCATTGATTGTCCACTGGGTGGGTAATTGACTCCCTCCTTCTCTACAATTCCACTCAGCCTGGGAACCTACTGCTAAGGCTGAGAGGGGTGGCAGGAGAAGAGGGCGGCCAACTCATCATTAGGATTCTTGGGAGACAAACTTTATCCATCCCCACCCTTCTTGCAGTACTGAAAAGTGCCTTATCTTCACTAGAGTTGGCAGTAGGGGCATTTTAATTTGGATTTGCATAAGGCAGGTAAGATTGAAGTGTTCCTCCTTCTTTCCTCTCACAACCCTATTGAATATTTATTTATGCAGATTCTTTTTTTTTTAATTTCAATTTTTCCTTTTTCTCTTTACAAACAAACATTTTTTATTTTTTCTTAACAATACTATGTCCTACATCTCTTACATTTATTTACATTACTTCTCATACTTTTTTATTCCTCAATTCTAACCAGTTATAGTACATGTCCCATACAGTATCTCATAGAATTCTGTAGCTTCTTTGTCTTTTAGTTCTAAGGTAGGTTTGTTCATCTCAGCACAATCTAATATCTTACATATAATCATTGCATTTGTTGGTATGTTCTCTCTTTTCCAACATTGCGCATATGCAATGCGTGCTGCAGTTATAATATGTATAATGATGTATTGGAGTCGTTTCTTGGTTTTTGGGTTGATTATTCCCAATAAAAATATTTCGGGTTTGAGTTCGATTTGTTGTTTTGTTATTTCCTGTAACCATCTCCTAATCTGCTCCCAATAGGTCTTTGCTTTGGGGCATTGCCACCACATGTGATAAAATGTTCCTTCTTTGTTTTTACATTTCCAACATTCTGGATTCATATTTTTGTATATTTTAGCCAATCTCGCCGTGCTAAATGCCATCTGTAGAACATTTTATATTGATTTTCTTTATATGCAGTTGACAACGTTAATTTGCAATTTCTGTTCCATATTCTTTCCCATTCATCTAATCCTCTATTTCTGCCTATGTTTCGGGCCCATGCTAGCATTGGGCCCATTACTATTTCTTCTTCCAATTCAATTTCTAATAGGAGTTTATAGGTTTTTGTTAAAAAAAATTCTCCCTTATTTGTCAATATTTTATCCAATTGTTGTGATGTCCGATTTATCCCATACTCTTCTATATCTTTATTATATTTTGATTTTACCTTTGTATATGGCCACCAATCAATAGTTATTCCCTGTTCTTTTAATTCATCTCTTGATCTTAGCTTCCCTTGGTTGTCTAATAGTTCTTTATACCTTATCATCTTTGCTTTGTCTAATGTGTTTGGGTGAATCATCGCCTCCATTGGTGAGATCCAAATTGGAATTTTCGTGTAGTATTTTTTTTAACTTTTTCCCATATCCAAATTAATGCATTTATGCAGATTCTAATGGGAAATCTATTTGCCTTTCGTCCAACTGACTAGCTGAGTTTCTTTGGCCAGGAGACCATGACCAAGGAAGGGTCTTCTCCTCCTTTTTGTGGGCAGAGGGGAACACTAATACAGCTAGTCCTCGACTTACAACAGTTCATTTAGTGATGTTCGAAGTCACAATGACACTGAAAAAAGTGACTTCTGACTGTTCTTCACACAACTGTTGCACCATCCCCATGGTCACATGATCAAAACTCAAACGCTTGGCAACTGACTCATATTTATGACGGTTGCAGTGTCCCTGAGTCATGTAATCATCTTTTGTAACCTTCTGGCAAGCAAAGTTAATGGGGAGGCCAGCTTCACTTAACAACCGTGTTACTTACCTACTTAACAACTGCAGTGATTCACTTGACAAATGTGGCAAGAAAGGTCGTAAAATGGGGCAAAACTCACTTAACCAATGTCTTGCTCAGCGACAGAAATTTTGGATTCAATTGTGGTCATAAGTCGAGGATTGCTAATAATATTCGTGAACGAGGCAGATGCCTTACAAACCAGACATAGAAGGCAAATATCATGCCTACTACTTCCAGCGTCGGAGTTGTTACTGTATTCCAGATCTCCAAGATACTTCAAGCCTCAACTAACCGGCATCTCTGTCTCTTGTTCCAGAACATGGACTCGTGCATGCACGTCATTTCATCCTGTTAGTCATTCAGGCTCAGCAAGGCACATGTGGCTCATTTTCTCAAAGCTGTGGGGGCTGATTCCTGAGAGAGATCTTCCCCAAACATTAGCTTTCCTTGAGGAAACATCAAGACTCTGGGCCATTAACAAGCAATCTTCTGAACAAAGGCATGGCTAGCCAGCAATCACAATGCTATTGTGAAAGTATTGTAACACCACAAGAACAACAAGTTTAGCTACAGTTGCCTACTCGTAGGCATAATTGAATTGGTGGGCATGCTGGCTCCCTTGAGCAATAGCTAACCTGAATTGGGAATTAAGGAAGTTGCAATCCACCATATCTGAAGCGTTCCAGGAAGGGAAAGACAATTCTAAAATCTGATTGATTTCAATCTGCTTTTAGCTGGATAAAATAGATGGTGTATTATAACTTTTTATTTTTGATACGTTGGAACTTAAGATGGCTGGTTTTGAAGTTGTATATTTTTCTTTTTTCTTTTACTTAAAATTCATGTTAAAAAAAGATGCAGAGAGGAAGATGGGTCTGAAAAAGGATGTAATAAACAAAACGACAAAAAATGTTACCATATAAAACCTTTTTATTTTTCTCTTTTGTTAAAAAAACATAACAAAACAAAAAATTCATTGCTTTAAATCAGATCTACAGTTTTTCTTCCAGTAATGTATGTTAATTCTTTTGGTAAGTCTTCATGCTTGCACAATCCACCCTTTTGCCTGAATAGATTCTAAATTAATCTCTGGGAATATAGCCAAGAAGAACAAATGTGTTTTCAACAAATAGTAATCAATCCAGAATCATATTAAAAATCTGCCTATTCTAAATGTAACAATAGCAGAACAAGGCTGGAATTAACAATAGTAGTACTGTTTTATGTATCTGTTTTATACAGATCTTTAGTTAATTAGTTCCTTACAATAACATTAATAAATATTTAAATGTTTTTCACTGTATTTGGATACCATGTTGAAAAAAATGTTTCTGGAAAGCAACCCAGAAATCTTGTTATTTCAGAATATATACCAAACCATTTTCTAATACAGGTAGTCCTCAACTTACGACCACAATTCAGTCCAAAATTTCTGTTGCTAAGTGAGACATTTGTTAAGTGAACTTTGTCCCATTTTAGGACCTTCCTTGCCACAGCTGCTAAGTGAATCACTATGACATGGTTTTGATAAATGAGACCAATAAAAACAGAACTCCGAGGCTTGAGTTTTCCTCTAAGAACATGTTTATTTTGTGGCAATGAAAACGAGCAAAATGGCTTTGGCCAGGTCCATTGCAGGGTTGACACACTGCAGTTGTTAAGTTAGTAACACAGTTGTTAAGCGAATTTGGCTTCCCCATTGGCTTTGCTTGTCAGAAGGTTGCAAAAGGGGATCACATGACCCCGGGACACTGCAACCCTCATAAATATGAGCCAGTTGCCAAGTATCTGAATTTTGATATGGGGATCATGGGGATGCTGCAATGGTCATAAGTGTGAAAAACGTTGCAACCTCGGTCACTAAATGAACTGTGGTAAATCAAGGACTACCTGATTTATGGAGGTTGAAAGCATAACCTCCTCAAACTATTTCATTATCTGAAATAATTTATGAGATTCTCCTCTGCCGTTTCTTTCCAGGAGAGCTTCTCACCAAATTGGAAGATGAGGATGAACAAGGCTGGTGCAAAGGAGTGACTGACATTGGACGCGTGGGCCTCTACCCTGCCAACTATGTGGAACCCATACAGGGCTAGATAGAATGGGCAAAAAACGAGGGGGGGGCTTAAATCAGTAAAATTACATCGATGTATAGTTTGCATTTCTGAGATCACATTATCCAAGATAGAATGATGCAAAATTCAGTTTCTTCAGAGATCCAGTTGCAAGTTCCTAGACTATGGAGGTGCGAAGTTCACCCCGAAAACTGTGTGGGAAATGCTAGTGAAATCTCAGAAGCTGCAATGGGTTGGTGGGTGGGTTCACGTGAAACCTCACATGGGTGGTTCTGGCTTCTGCATTCAGCATAGCTTTTTGTCCCTCCCTTTAGTTGTAGAATAAATGAATTGCAAAGCAAGCCTTCAGAAGCTCCATTTACATATTGTATTCACAAAAAGGAAGCCTTTCCTCATTTTGAGGGTGGCACAAATTGGTAAAATAGACCTGAATAATAAAGACTCAGAAAGAAAGCTGGGGAAAGATATAGCTACCAGATTGCTCTACATAACACCTGTAACATAAACACACACTCATATACATCTACTGGACACATACATCCGGTCTGATTTACCACCTGGTGTGCCTGCAGATTTTTATTTGCTTACGTAGTTATTCATCCTTTCTTCTTGTGTCTCTGACACACAAACAAATCAAGATGCCTTAAAGCTCTCCTTTATTTGCCACAGAGATTGAAAGCACCCTGCCCTGAAGGGCTGGTCAAACTTCACAAGAAGCACAAGAAAGATGTCTCACAATCCCACACATTCTCTTTAGTCATTTCTTAATCCAAAAATTTGCCACATGTGAGAGGAATGTACATTTGAAAATTGTCCTCACATGGCAAGTTAGTGAAGTATAGGAAGTTTGTAGGATCCAATCACACTGTTGTTTCAGCACCTCCCTGGATGATTGATATTTGGGGAAGAAAAACTATTCAGAGGCAACTGCTGTCCACCTTTTGAAGTATACTCCATCCACTAAAGTGTGAAAACAAGGCTAAAACAACTAAGATGAATATGTGAACATCTGTGGGGATTTTTAAAAAAGACTTGATCTTTTAGATCTGTGGAGTTTGGAAAATAAAAAATAATTAAGCATGGTGGCCAGTTTTAGTTTTCTTTTTGTTTCCAAGCTTCTACTCCTTATGACCACAAATGTAATCTTAAAAATATGTGGGTGGGCCTAATGAAATCCAGTTGGTCTACCTGTGAGTTGTTCCAGCATTTTATTTACCCTTTTTTCAAAGGGTAAATCAAATCACACCTTATGATTTTCTGTGAGCTGCACTAACATAACTTCCTAGGATGAATTGGGGCATTGGTACACAAGGCCTTGCCCTGCACCTTCAGCAACAGCACCTGACCTGTGTTCAGCAGCTGAGCTGAGTTCGTTCCAGCTCAGCTATGATTCATTTGAAAAACATAACAATTTTTTTTCTTTTGTGATGAGTGCTGCTATGCTATGCTATGCTACGCTACGCTATGCTATGCCGCGCCATGCTGCGCCGTGCCATGCCACGCCACGCCATGCTATGCTATGCTATGCAGAACCACAGGTCTGGTTGGCAGGAGCTCTCAACTCAATCCACTCCTAGATATACATTCAAATGAACTTCCCTTTTTTCCCCACAGAGGTTCAGATGTTATAGATCAGGATAATAACAGAATAACATAGTTGGAAGTTCAAGCAGGAGATCCTAGACCTGTCCAATCTCTTCTTAAAAACCCATCAGCCATTCCACTGATTAATTGTTCTAAACTGTAAGGAAATTTCTCCTTAGTTCTAAGTTGGTTCTCTCTTGATTAGTTTCCATCCATTGCTTCTTATCCTGCCTGCAGGTGCTTTGGAGAATAGACTGACCCCCCCTCATCTTTGTGGCAGCCCCTCAAATATTGGAACAGTACTATTATGTCACCCCTAGTCCTTGTTTTCATTAGACTAGACATAGCCAAATTCTGCAACTGTTCTTCACCTGTACTCTTTCTAGAGTCTCAACATCTTTTTTATATCGTCGTGGCCAAAACTGGATGCAATATTCCAAGTATGTTCCTACCAAGACATTATAAATCACATTGGGATACTATTAATTCACAGATTTTCAGAGCAATAGAAGGATGATGCCTGGATGTCTATTAGCTCTCCCTTATAGAAACCTTTCAATTTTATTTATTTATTTATTTGCAATTACAGATGTACATAACATAAACTATAGGGGAGAACTATTGACTAATATGTTCTTTGCATTCCATTCTTGATTAGTTGGAAACCGATGTGGGTGTTTTGAAATCACCAGCAACAGATTGATTCCAGACCACTTTTAAGGGACTTGAGAGCAGAAACATGACAGTATGAAAATGTTCCCAAGAAATTTAGGGGTAAATTAGTTCTCTGGGATCAGAAGACCAGGACCTTAGAAAGTTAATACTACAGGCAGTACTCGGCTTACAAACAGTCACCTAGTGAATGAAGTTACAACTGACCTGCCCAGAACTACTTACAACCCAGATTCAAAGTTTCTATAGAGGCCTGCTCCCTGCAGGAGGCCACAGTCATGTGATCATATTTTGGCTGCTTGGCAACCACCCTGCATTTATAGATGATTGCAATATCCCACAGTCACATGACTGTGCTTTGTGATTATTATTTTTTTGCTTCCAGTTTCTGGCAAAAATACCCATTAAGGAAAATGGGGTAATGACCATCGCAAAAAAGATCATAAAGTCAGGCACATGGTGACCAGCTTAATAAAAAGCACAATTTATGACTATAATTCCTGACTCAATTAGAGTTGTAAGTTGAGGATTATCTCTATACAGAAGAGAATGGGCATGAACTTACTGGCCTTAAATTCAAGAAAGACTTGCAAAATGAAAAAGTAAGTCATTCTTGAGTCCTTTTTGGTTAGCTGTTTCATTCTGCCTAACATAATCAGCAACTGCAGCGATCTCAGTGCTAGTCTCATAGGCAAGAAGTTTACAATTAGTTGTCTCCAAAAGCCTTGAGTGTTTCCTCAAGCCCTTCCTTAGTGGCCATAAATATTTTAAAGTGAGTGAGGTAAAATAATAAACACACTGGGGATCGTTGCAGTAACTTCATTTTAATGAAGTGTAGTTTTTATTCTCACCTGAACAAAAGGTTTGCGACATCTGGGACAACAGAAAAAAGGGGATGGATTAGTAAGGCCTCTTCAATTGCTACAATATAAAAAAAATTACAAAGTTAAATTAAGGAGACATCAGAGCTAAGAACCACAATTTTATCAAACTTGGATGGATTTTATGGTTTATCTCAATGGCTAGATTATAGTCTGATGAGTGAGAGAGAGAATTTTTTGTATGTCTAATACCTGTCTCTTTATTTCTACTGCAGCAGATTTCTATATTTTTATATTTTTTCTGTTTCTTTTCTTCTTTATGTATCTTGGATTTATGTAAGTGTAGTTACCTGATTTTGTTTTGTTTTGTTTTTAAAAATAAAACAGTCTTCTCCGGTTCATAAAATATATTCTGCTGACAAATTAATCTCTCTATCTTGATGGCAAGAGAGATATTACCACACCCACAGTGGCTCTACCTGTTTAAGGTCTTCAAGGAAAATCATTTTTTTCCCGAATCCTAAAGTTTTGCACACCACAAACATGGAACCCCCACAAGTGCTAGCCAAACATTAAGGAGATCCACTGACTGAGCTCACCTGATGACCAATGAGATTCAGGGCTATCAAAGTTCACTGCTCATTAATCAGATTGGCAAAGCAATTTTTGCTCAGGTGCTCTTAGCCAGCTGAAATATGAACCCCAATAATTACATAGAATAGAGGCGGTAAGCCCCAGCAGTCCTAACCAGTCAGGATCTACAACCCACATTCCTGGGCCTTATGGGCGAGGCAATAACACTACTCCCCAGCCAGTGCAGATATACTTCTCCATCCCCAAGAAAAATAATCCGGTGCAGTCAGGACACACGGAAGAAATTCCTGCTGGAAACTGCAGAAGGACTGAACCGATGAAAGATGGGAGGCAGAATCTGGATCATAGTGCTGCTGGCAATCGGGATTGAAGGGCAAATCCGGTGAGATAATGCAAGATAGTTACTGAACTCTCGGCTGCAGAGGAGTACCTAGGAATTCTAGATCCTTATAGAAGATAGGATAGTCTGCTTTAGTTTCAGATGCTCCAGCTAGGCTGGACCAGTACAGTGGTTCCCAACTTCCTAGCTAGCGTGGCTGTGAATTCTGTGACCAGTAACCTGGAGGTTATCAGTTTGGTGGGGGGGGGGGCGATTTAGAAGCTTGTGGCTTGAGGGAGTGGGGATCCTTGATTGAGAAAGAAGAATATGATTGCAGGGAATTTGAACAATCAAACTATAGGGGCACACAGCTAGCATTTCAAGAAAGAAGTGTGTGCAAGCCACCAACTGTGAACACAGAATATGGGATCTGGGATAACTAGAGGTAATTTGAAAATTGGCCTAGTGATTAGAAAGGATGTCTCTATGAAGTTAATGTACTGATTTTCCCAATTAATTAATTAATTAATCTCAATTAATTACAATAGACCTGGAAGGGACCTTGGAGGTCTTCTAGTCCAGCCCCCTGCTTAAGCAGGAGTCCCTATATAATTTCATATGTCCAATCTTAAAAACCTTGAGTGATGAAGCACCCACAACTCCTGAAGGCAAGCTGTTCCACTGGTTAATTGTTCTCACTGTTAGAAAGTTTCTCCTTAGTTCTGGGTTGCTTCTCTCCTTGATTAGTTTCCATCCATTGTCCCTTGTCTTGTCTTCTGGTGCTAGTTTTACTTTTTCCTTTTCTTTGTGCTGGGCTATAGACGGGGATCCTGGCTGGAAATTCTGGAACTTGTAGTTTTGATAAATCTGGAGATCACCAAATTGTGGAAACTGAGATTAAAACAATAGTTGCCAGTCAAAAAGACTGATAATATTATGGTCAGGACTCTTCTCTCTTTTGAAGGGTGCTAATAGCTTAACATGGGAATCTGTTGCTGTCCATATGTGGTTGGAATCTACCTCCCAACAGCTTTAACCAGCATGTTGAGATATACCTTAGTGATATCTGGAGAAGCAGAAGTTCTGCCATGCCTCTTTTAATGGCTACATGACAGGCGTATTTTCATTGCCTGTTGAACTTCTTGCTAGGCAGGCTTTTTAACAAACAAGAATGGACATTTCAGATGTAAGGCATAAAAAAGGGGACTGTCCATCATATGCTAGAAGTGTCCTGAAAGGAGGTAGGAGAATTAAAAAGCAGAGACTCCAGGTAAAAGTAAAAAGTATATACTGAATAGCCAGTAGTTGATGGTAAAAGCACACCCTGCCTTAATAAAGATTTAAGAATT